CTAACGCTCTAACCCTAACCCTTAACCTAACCCTAACCCTAACCCTTACCTTTATGTGAATCGGCTTGCTTTAATTTTAATTTTATTTAAATTTTTAAATTTTTTTGTCGCACTGTGATGATGTCACATGCGCGCTTTCATCGATCGCGATTTTGTCCTCCGCGGTTTTGACGGGTCACGCCTCACTGTTACCAATCCAAGTAAGTGTAATGACTCTGCTATTGTCGTGCCTTAACTGCTCAATCCTTCGTTACAACAGCTTTGGAGTATATAAAACAGGAAGAAAGAAAACATTAATATTACATCATTAAATTACTCAAACATCAGGCTAGAAACCAGGAGACCGTGAGTTCTAGTCCTGTTAAGACACAAAACCGGCTGGGTGACCTTCAGCCAGTCGCTCTCTCATTACCCTAGGAAGTAGGCAATGACAAATCACTTCTGAAATCTCGCAAGTGAAAGTTCCCCAACCTTTTTGGCTTCATGGAGGAGCGGGAGGTGGGAGGAGACGGTTGTGCGCGTGTTCACAGCTTCATTTGAGCCTGCCTGCCATTCGAGCAAATGGGGCACCCACAATTGCCCAGTTATCCACAATGGGTATGCAAACACGGTCGCCCACGACTTCTGGGTCCTGGTTCCCAACAGCTCAAGGCCCAGAGGTGGTCGGGGGGTTGGGGACCCTGCTTTAGTATTTGTCCAGGCAGCCTCCAGAAGTCAGGACTGACAAAGGGACCACCAACAAAAAGAAATAAAAAGACCCCCACCCCCCAAAGCAGAGAGGGCTAGAGAGGTTTTCTAATAACTATTCAAAATCTGTCTGGATAGGAATACGTGCTTGAGAAGGACCTTGGAGATTAGCTTCGTCTTTGGAAAAGAGATACAAAGATTTGGAAAAAGGAACCATGCTAATAAGCATTTACAGTAATTTGGAAAAGCAGTGATGTCATGAGAAAAAGGAAAAGAAAGCAGCTGAAATTGAATCCATTCAAAACTTACTTCAATCATTGCAATAGATAAGAGGCAATGCAGCGCATAAAACATTTGTACCGTCTCACAACTCCAAATAATATATAGGTCATGAGAGCCCAGAGGCTTTAGGAAAGGTATGAAACAGATTCTGCCTACTGGAGGTCCTCAATTCTATGAAATGAAATTTAAAAAAAGGAAAGCTAGGTCCTGCATGCTGCCTTAAGCTACTTGTAGAGGAACAAAGATGGCCTGTGAAGAAAAGTTGATTGATAGCTGGTATAATCTTTTCTGGAGATCTGAACAAATTCTTTTTGATGCGTTGAAATCCTTTACACAGGAAAGTCTTTCACAGTCACCTACAGAATTCAGTGGTACTTATTCCCCTGTATTCCAACTCACTCTTCCCAGAGAATCTTATCCTGATTATTCTTTAAAAATGCTAATTTGCAAATATTCTTATTTTCAGTGATACATTTTCACATGGAATGTAAGGGTACATTTGCTACTCAACTATTTTATAAATAGTTCCAGGTTTTCTTACAAAACAGGTGGATGTTTACAGATGAAACCCGTGTGATTTCATTTGAATGGAGTTGCCTTGGAGCACTTCACACCTGGAAATATAGTAATAATCGCTGCCTAAATTCCAATTCAAGAGATCTATTTTCCTTAACAGTGAAAACTCAGGAGCACAAAACAGTCCCAGATCTTGCATGGAGCACCCTTGCTGAGCATGGGGATTCTTCAGAAGAAGGTCGAAATAGGCCTGGAATTGAAAAAAAAAAAGAAATTCCCCCTTCTTTTTTTAAAATATATTTTTTATTCTTTTTAAACGAAACAACACATACAAAACAAAGCAAGAGANAATAATGCTGACTCTGTAAACCACTTAGAGAGGGCTGAAAGCCCTATGAAGCGGTATATAAGTCTAACTGCTATTGCTATTGCTAATTAAGAGAGTTGTTGGGAGCCAGTATAAAAACAATTGCTCCCAGACGATTGCTCTCTGGGCAAAGTTGACAAATTGTCCTATTTTTCTCGATAATATCTTAATATTTCTTAATAATAATCCACACCCATTTTTAAAGTTATTTTTTTACACAATAGTTCTGGTGAGACTAATCGGGTGTGTGTGTGTATAAGTAGAAAGCTGAATAGTATTTTGTAAGCCCACTCTGAACATAGTGACCTTTGCTAAGATTTTATCAAGTCTTGTTCAAATGCCTGTGAACATATTTTGGTAGTTGTATCAGCTAAAACGTTTAGAACAAAAACAAACGAAGTGGAAATTGAACATCGGTATTAGAGATGGAGCATTTTCAAAGCTTTGTGGTAAACCCAACACACTGTGAAATTGGGTGTCTTGAATGAAGTGGTGGTGAGGAGACCAGAATGAGGACGAGCTTCCCTAAGGGTCTATTTTAACCTGTTTTTTCTACCCTCTAATGGTTCAGGTGATGGGACTCATCCGCGTTCCCCTCTATATTCTACGTGATGGCGTTGGGGGCCTCCCAATGTTCCTCAGCAATACTTTTATTGGCAATGCCCGGGAGCAGCTCATTCATGCCCTGGAAACTCTCCAACTCATGCCAGCTGAGCAACTTCAAAAGGCTATCAGGATCCCTCAAAAGAGACATTGAGCTTCATTGACTTCGGCTGCTGCCTATTCACCCGGATAGCCTTTGGGCTGCAATCCTGAAAGAATTTCAAACTTTAGGAACAGGCAACCGCAAGGAAAATATGGTCCTCGCTCCAGTCTTCTACCGTGACATTGTTGCTGAATAGCTTGATGCAAGGGTTGGGAGTCTGAATGTGGATTCCAATGATCAGGTTGTTGCGTATTTAAAACACGTTGATTGTGTCACTCGCCTAGAGGTAGGTAACTGAAAGACTGAAGCCCTGTTGACTATTCTAATCTTCACAGAACACGTTGGTGATCTGCCTTCCTACGGGGCCGTCACCTCAAGCCTGGATTACTGTAACGCGCTCTACATGAGGCTGCCCCTGAAGAGTGTTCAAAGACTACAGTTGGCCCAGAATGCAGCCGCGCGAGCGATATGGGGTGTACTTAGATACACCCATGTTACACCCA